TGGCTAGAAGAAAATCAGTTTTTGATAAAAAAAAAAAAAATCAATAGTCTTAGCCCACTTAAGCTATATATTATTTTTTTTCCAATTGTTTACAACCGTTATACAATGACTTGCCTAATTACTCTAGCTAGCCTAGTTAACCTAATTAACCTAGTTAAGCCTTTAAATGTAACTTTAAGATGAATACTAGCATCTTGAAAAATATCTAATAAAATGTTATGTAATGTCATCATGGCAAATATAAAATAAATATAAATTAGAAATGAGTAATTAAAACTATTATGTTTAGAAATGTGTTTAGAAAATCTTCGTTTCATCTAATAAAAATCTGTTAAAAATATACAGAGGGCCTAATAATTGAGGAAAGATAATTATTCTGACACTCTTATATCTGGGTGGATTAATGTAAACAGAGCCTAATCTAAATGTTTCTAAATTTTTTCTTTGTATTTTGCATTGTGATAGCTCACTATTTTAGAATGTAAGAGTGGACAACATGTTTTATCCATGTTGATATCTGGCACAGGAGTAGTTACCATTTTCAAAAGTGGAGAAATTCAATGTCAAGAAGTATACGTCTTTTTTTTCCTTCAGGGGTACAACAGTATGTCACCTGGGGCAGTACCTTTAACACACACACATATGAGTGCACATTGTTATCCAGGTAGCTTTTCTGACGTAATTTTCATCAAAACTGGCTAACTATTCAACAAGAACAAAAGGAAGAGTCAATTCGGAAACCACATGCCAACTCTGGAAACATGCCGCATTTCTATTCGTTGCTTCAAGCATAAGTTAACTTCAACACATCATGTATGCAGCTCTCCAATTAAAAATTCAGGGGCAAATACGCATTTTATTAAAGTCGGGATCCCCCAAATCCTGCACATTCTACACCCTTGGTTTGTTTGTTTGTTCTGTTTTGCACTGTGATACTTCAACATTTCATTGTGTACAAGAAAAATTTAAAACACTTGCACTGTAAAAACGATTTGTTGACTTTACTTAAAAAAAACTGAGTAAGCCCATCCCAGCATGCATACAACCTCATAAGACATTAATATTAGGTTAGATTTACTGTGGGTCATTATGTCAGCTGATCAAAATTCAATGACTAACCAGTGTTTAAGGAGACATTATTTTGACGTCCGATAATGTTGTCAAATAACGTTGATATTTGGTTGATTTTTTTTGTTAGCAAGAGACTAAAACCTAACGTTGAGCTAACATCTTAAACAAACGTCATATTGAAATCAAATACTGACATTTATTCATCAGGTATGGCAATTAAAATCCAACGTCTGATAGACATCAGTGTTAACATCCACACAACATTAAGCTGCAACATCATTAGATGTTGATATGTGGTTAAATTTAGGTTGGATGTTGAACATTAAAGTCAGCCTGACATTGAGTTCTGACATCAACCCGATTTTCATTTCCAAACAAAATGCAACATCTCCACAACGGTTGGGTACAACATCAATCTGACGTCATGTTGACTTCCTGTGCCTGCTGGGATTGTGTTTTCAACAATTAACTAATTATTCAACAAATTAACTAATACTTATAATGTTCAAAATTTATTTATTATAAGTAAGTTGCAACTCAGTTGCAAGTTACAAAGAGTTTGCTAACGTAATTAGTAACTTTTTCAAAACTTGAAAAAACTTTAGCATGGACAGTGCTTTGCTTGAAACTAAAATGGCATTTGTATCTGGCTGGTGAATCATAATTAATATGCAGTAGATGCAGCCAAAACTTTCTATTGATTCAGTATTTCCGTATTTGTCTGTGTGTTTCTTGGTGTCTTGGAGACTTGGGATGCATTCGAAAACACTACGTGTGGAGAGATAATGATTTAGAATAAAAATGTCATTCTGGATTAATGCTGACAAAGCTTAAGTCTAATTTTAGGCATTTGTTTGGAGTGTTTTGCATCGTGACAGCTCACCATTTACACATGACGCATGGAAAATCTTTAAAAATGCAAATGTGGACATGAAATGGAAATGCTATTTTAAACCACTCTGTCATTGATGTTAAATACAAGTGTGTTGATGTAGCAGATGCCTCATTTGATTCAGTCTTTCTGTCGGTTTTACAAAATCACTTAAAGGAACACTCTGCTTTTTGAAAATAAGCTCATTTTACAACTCCTCTAGAGTTAAACTTTTTTACCATTTTTAGTCCATTCAGAAAATGTCTGGGAATGGCATCAGCAATTTTAGCTTAGCTTAGCATATATATTTGAATCAGATTAGACCATTAGCATCTTGCTCAAAACTGAAAAGTTGCTCTTTGGCGTACTAATCAAGGAAATTTACTGCTGTACTGTGGCTGTAGCAGACACAATTATATATTACGCTCCTGAAAATAGTCCCCAGCTAGGTAAATGGTAACCAGTGTTTTGCCAGGTAATGAAAAATAGTAAGTAGTTACAATTACTAGTTACTTTATTCAACCCAATTACTTTATCAATTACTTACACCAAAAAGTAATGCATTATTGTTAAACGTGATTTTAAAATACTTTTCCAAAGAACATTTTTAATGATCCCATTAATACCCTTATTACGTCACTTTAGTGCTGCACAAGGAATACACTGTTGATCAGCTTTACAGTTTTAATTAATTTGCATTCTCACAACTAAAACACAAGACAAACTTAAACAAAAAGTAATTTTTAAACAATAATTTATTTAAGTCAGACCAGCAGTACAAAAATGAAAATGGTGATCAACCAGCTGAATAATATAATAATAATAATAATAATTCCTTACATTTATATAGCGCTTTTTAATATATTAAGAAACAAAAAGCAAAGTTGCTTCAGCATCATAAAAGCTGTTGTATTTAACCCCTAAACATGTTCCTTCACAGCTTGAGTATGAAAACTAGCAACAATAACAAACACAAAACCCTTATGCAATTAATAAATGAAAGTAATCTGAGTTATCATTCAGAAACAATTTAGTGAAACTCAGCACCAAAAAAAAAAAAAAAAAACGCTTTATAGACAACCATACATTTTATGCATTTTAAACAAAATCATAATAGCTGCTAAAAAATTAAATCTATGAGTAATTTTCAAAGTGTAAATCAAATGTGGTATATCAACAACTTGGAAAGTAAGCTGTGTATATTCAAAGTGCAAAATCTACTGTTGTATAACTGCTATAAAAATGTTTAACAGTAAAAAAAAAATTAATCATAGCATTTTTCTGAGCAATACACCATACATTTAAATAATGTGTTCTGAAATATAACAGAAATGTGTCACTGTGTCTACTAAACTAATCAGTTTTGTTATACAGAGAACATATGTGTGCTTATTTATTTGAAACAACATAGTATTAGTAATAGTAATTAATATAATTTAATATTAATATATTTTATGGGTAGGGATGGCTGATGTGAAACTGACGTTTCGACAGTGTCGAGATGCAAGCGCAAGTATTTCGAAGCATGATCCGAAACACCTAGGTCACATGACTAAGGTGGTTCAAAAGACACAGGTCACTTGACTAAAGCATTTCAAAGCATCGGCCATTTCAAAAGCATTTTGAGATCTGCCGATTCTCCGTTTGACTGACAGGGTCTGTCTCATGTAGCCTGTGCGTTTGCACAAAGTAACTTTGTTGCAAATGGCCCAGGCTCAATTCCCGACTTGTACAAATCCTCAAAAAAAATTATGATTTGATGTATTTTATTAATGTTACTGTTTGTCACCAAAACAAGACATATTTGTTCACAAAGTGTTCGGATATCAGACCAATGTTAAAACAAAATATGTTACGAGAACAGAGGATTAAAAAAACTAACATCTATAGCTGCATCACTCTGGATTCGAACCCATTTTAGCACGCTAGTCAGGAACTCTCACTGCTTTACTAAATCACTTGAAACCTCAACTCTACAATAAGTTCAATACCTCAATTTGCTTAACTCTTTCTTTGCTGAAGCTGTTGCAGAGTATAACAAAAGAAATGACCACTAGGTGTCACTGTAGAGACGGGGTTAAAAACGTTTCGAAACATCGACACATTTGCTTGAACTGTTTCAGTGTTTCATGAAGCCTTGCCTTGCCCACCATTATTTGCGAGCACTCACGGCCTACCTCATGCACATTCAGTCTCTCTTGGGTGCACACTCAGCCTAATTATGCATATTCGGTCTCTCTCACGCACACACTTGGATTTTCTTGTGTGCACCCGATCTCTCTGCTTTTGCTTTTGTCCAGTCTGGTGCCTTAAAACTGATGCGTCTTCTTCTTACAGTCGTTGGTTGGCATCCACCAATCCCACAATACATCGCTGCTGAAAACGGGAAGATGTAGCTAAGACTGCAGCTAAAATCAATTCATTTACCAAGTAAAGGACACTTGCAAAATATTTAATGATAACAGAGTTACTACATTTAAAAAGTAATGCGTTACGGTATTAGTTACTGTCAAAAGTCGTTACTAATATCGCATTACTATTAACGTGTTATTGCCCAACACTGATGCTAACAGCGCTGCATCATATCAGTATACCTGCTGCAGCCATGGTACAGCAGCAAAGTTCCCTGATTATTAGGCTGCAATGAGAGTACAGTTCCCAGCCATAATGACCAAGAAAACAATAAATTGTCAGTAAGCACACAATGTAACTACAGAAGTGTCAAGTTTTAAATGGGAAAATTATTAAAACACTTATATTTTTATTAATTAATAAGTGAGATGCTTGTGAGTGAGTTGGTCTAATCTAGTCCAATGATTTATGCTAAGCTAAGCTAAAAGTGCTCCTGCCAGACCCAGAGATCAACTAAAAGGGTTCAAAAATAATGTTAACTCATCTAGGAGATTTTTTAAATAAGCAGTTGTAAATAAGCCTATTTCTGTTCTTTTAACAGAGCTAGTTTGGAAACATCATTCTCAAATCATCCGAAGACCTAATTTAATTCAAAATCTGTGTTCTGCATTGTGATTTCTCACTGTTACATCTCTTTCCCTTATAGGAGGCAGTTTTACAACAACTTCAGGGCTGTACGCTGGAAGCAATTCCCTCACAAACTCAACTGGATTCAATAGCACACAACAGGTAGCTGGATTTCTATCTCTTCTAGTCTAGTCTACAGCATGCATTAAAATTGTACTTCCTCCGCCTGGCACATACGCTCAGAATGTTTTCCTTCCTCCTGTAAGCTTTTATAAAACATGTGTACACTCGCATATTACTCACATGATATGAATCACTCTAAATGTCTCGACCACTGTATGCACAGATTACCTCTTGCTCTTTTTGTGTATGAATTATGCCACGAGCGGAGACAAAAAAACGAGTGAAGACAGATCGCTGTCCAGATGTAGCGCAGAGGAGACATATGTTCACATTTACGTTTTGGAATCTGTGCTGTAAAGTAGCAGGGTTGCACGCTGCTATCTCACATTACCGCCTTGATGTCTTTGTGCAGGACTATCCTTCCTACCCGACGTTTGGCCAGAGTCAGTATGCGCAGTATTACAACAGTAGCCCTTACACTTCTCCATACATGACCAGTAACAACACCAGCCCTACTACACCCTCTACCACTGCCACCTACACCCTGCAAGAACCTCCATCAGGGATCACCAGCCAGGCCCTCACAGAGCAGCCCACAGGTAAGAGAGACCCATTTAGGTGGAAAAAATTTTCTGGCTGGAGGTCTGAAAATTTTTGAGTTACTACAAAGAAGAGAGCTGATTAGCTGATTTTGCAACACTAAACATTGATTATAGATTTACAAATTAGAGATTAGTTTTACAATGTTTTTATCCATATAAATAGGGCGCTTTGTACTGTGCTAATATGAAGCAAGTTTGTTTATTATTTTTTTTAATGGTGTAATTTATTACACTTTGTATTGGATTTGTGTATAGATTTGTGGATCTGCTTTCTGTCTTTTTTTTTTTTTTTGGTCATTCATAAATTTCAGAATAAAAAAAACAATATTTCTATTTTTAGACAAAATAGTTTAGAATAATAACAGTAAAATGTAAAATTAGAGAAGAAATTGGAGAAGACTTTCTATCATTGATGACAATAATTATAATTATTAGGCTGCTTTCAAACCTAGACTTTTGTCTTGGAACCTGGCATGTTTCTCAGCAATTGCGCTTAGATCTGCACCTAAGCAATAGGTCTGAGATCGCCTGACTGGGGTGGTCTCGGCTCCAATAAAATGAACTCTGGAGCGGATCAAATAGTGAGAAAGCAAGATGATCCGAACCAGGCTGTATCACTGTGTATTATAGATATGTAATATCATATACAGTATACGGCTATATGAGGAGATAATTATGAGTAGGACTGGATGTCTTCATTCCTAATGGTAAATGTGCATTTCATGTCAAATACGAACTTGAAAGAATGCTGAACTATTAACAAGAGATGCTTATCTGTTAGGAAAATTGACCAAACAGTAGTTTTGGTTTCTGTCTTTTATTTATTTCTATAATGTGAAAGCTTATAATGCATAATTATAGCCAACAGCTATGTATGAGAAAGTCTTATCTCTAATTTATATCTGGTGACGATGTCTGTGGGTGTGGCCATTTAAAATTAAAGTGCAGCTTTTCACTAATAATGTCTTATTGCTCATCGTCATAAATTAAAATAAGGGCGCATAATAGCTGGGCAGGACTCTGCAAAATAAACTGTGAAACTCTGACCAATGAGAGGAGAGTTTGCTCGCATGTGACATGTTTTAGCTATTATGGTCCATTTAGAAACTTTGCCATGTGAAAGCGAACCACACCAAGAACAAAGTGCAACATTGTAACAATTTTAATCCCTGTTTCGGAATAGGTGAATCGATTCACAGGTGTGTAAGCACCCTTTATATAAAAATACCTATTGCTCTGTTACATAAACAGAAGGTCATCATGTATACATTGTAAAAATAAATTGTTGCTGAGTTAAAGTTTTAAGTTGAATCAAATTAATGCTACAAGTCATTTAAAACTTACACCAATTAAACCCATTTAGGTAACACTTTACAATTTTAAAATGTTGATTAACATTTTTTTGTGAATAAAATTATCAAAAAAAAATTGAAACCTGATTTAACTAAAATTAAAAACATATGTTGTCTTGACTTTTTGAATAAATTGCCTTTACAGTGTACTTACTGTAGATATATCCCCAGCTATTTTATGTATTTGCGAGTATTTAATATAGTATTTCATGTAATAGTTTTATATTATATTTATTTTATATAACAGTTTGAAAAGAATTTACAACAATTAAACTGATATAAACTGTGACTTACAGTAACTACCCAGCAGGCACAGAACGTCAACACAACGTCAGATTAAAATCGGGTTTACATCAGAATCCAACATCAGGCTGACGTCAATGTCCAAAGTCGGACAGACGTTGCATTTTGGTAACTTTCCAACACAGCCTAAAAACAACAAAATGTCAACGTCTATTGGTGTTTCAGCTTGACGTTGTGTGGACTTTACCACTTACTTTAATCAAACATTGTATTTTGGTTGCTATACCTGACGAATAAATGTCAGCATTTGACGTCAATATGATGTTGGTTTAAGAGGTTGGCTAGATGTAAAATTTCGTTCACTTTCCAGCACAACCTAAAATCCACCAAATGTCAATGTCATTTAACGTTGTTTTTATAACTTTGTCCTTAGATGCTGGTGACCTAAAGCTAACCTAATATTAGCGTCTTATGATGTTGTGTGTCTGCTGGGTATGACTAAAACTTAAATCTAGTAAAATACAATAATACGTCAATAATTATGAAATCTGATTGACTGGTTAAAATAAGTTAAATTAACCTAAAACATATGGTGTCATGTCTTTTTGATCAAATAATTTTTAAGTGTTATTTTTATAGCAAATATACATCAAGATAGTTTGAGAAGAATTTATAGTAGACCAACTTCTGCTTATTAACTGAACCAGTGAAACATTCTAGTGCTGTTGGATTATTTTTAAAATAAGTCTTGGCCAATCAAGCTCAAGAGCCAGGCTGAACATATTTACAGTATACATAATTGAATTAACAGTGAATCAGTGAATTAACACTGTTGTTTCCAAGAGACAATAAAACACTCTTACATTTGCCTTGTCGTGTAATTGAGAGAGAACAATACAATGCAGAACACCTCCAGTGCCATTACTAATGCTTAAAATGTTTCTCGGGTATAAGGAGATCTGATAAACAACATGACACTAGAGCATGTAGGCAGTACTGAGCTCCAAATGAGGTAAACAGATCTAGCCACAATGTGAATATATTTTTTGCCTTTCTTTTTTTCTGCAGGAGAGTACAGTACAATCCACAGTCCATCAACCCCCATTAAAGATTCAGATTCAGATCGATTGCGTCGGGCTTCGGATGTAAAGGCACGTGGCCGAGGAAGGAGGAACAATAACCCGTCTCCACCTCCTGACTCTGACCTTGAGGTAATACACTGTCAGTGTATCTGACTTTGACAACACTGACTCATTAATATTAACATTATAATAGTAATCTTTATAAAATCAAGTAATAGTTTATAAAAATCTAACTTTTTTACCTATTACCATTTAATTTATTCACCCTCAAGCCTGCCTCTGTGTATATCTGGCTCTTCCATTTTGTATAATGGTGTTAGATAGTGACTTTTGTTTTGAAGCTTCCATTAGAGCATTATCTATTGTTTCGATGAAAAAAAAAATATTAAAAAAACCTTAAAAACTAGACATATTTTTGTTACAAAAAACTAATCGATCCGCTTCATAAGACACAAATTAACCCCCTGGCAGCCTATGGGTTAGTATGGTGACAACGGTTTATTCGCTTTTGAAAGCTTCAAAATTAAAGCCATAACTCAATACAATTACAGAGCATAAAAGAGCCTAGGTAAAATTAAAAGCTACTCTTAATGTGTTTGTCTGACAGAATTAAAGTCATATATACTAAATTTGACTCAATGGTGAGTAAATAATGGGAGTAGTATTTGTTTTTTCATGCCCTTTAAAGGCATAGTTCTACCCAAAAATGAAATTCTGTCAATATTTATTGACTTGTTTGAAACATATTTTACATTCTTTACACTGATAAAAAGAAAGGCCGATATTTTTAATAAATATAGGAACCAGAAGCCTTGACTTTTATAGTGCACTCAAAAAAAAAAAAAAAAATGCTGTTTGTTTAAACCACTTAATTAAAATGAGCTTTTTTGGGACAACTCAACTGTTTAATGTTCAACCCACCTAAAATAAGTCAACATAATTCCTTCATGTAACCCTGCTTTTGCAGTATATGCATTTTCCCCACTACGGAAATCATGCGCTACCAGTATCCACAATTTTTCAAAATATCTTCTTTTTGTCTTTAATGGGAAAAAATTAACTCATGAAGGGTTGGAACAATGAGAGTGAGAATAAATAGTGAGTGTGTTTGTGTGAACTGCCCCTTTAAAATTAATGCATCACAGAGTTTATAGAGTGCGCGTACATGCATGTTACAACATGTAAATGTCCTAAACAGAGTTTTTTTGGTGAAAGCTTTGTTTTGCATGTTTCGCTTTGCATGCAAACGCATTAATCGGCATTCTGTCAGTTTGCTCAGAGCGCACGTCACATGTTTTGACATGAAGACCAAAGAAAAAAAGATCATTTGAAATCTTGGTGACATATAATGTCCCAGTGCCCTTACTATCTGTGGATTTCATACTGTATGTACTGTATCACTGTACATACTATGTACTTATCGTAGTCATTACATAAACGGGGTACTAACTATCCTTAAATAGTTCACAGAAAAATAAAAAAATCTGTTGGAATTTACCTACACCTCACTTGTTTAAAACCTATTTAAGTTTCCGGTAACACTTAATTTACTTTATACTGCTGCTAAACAGACATTTAATTGACTAGAAGAAAATTTGCAAGTACATGTCAACTTACACTAACCCTTACCCCAACCTCACAGTCTACTTATAATCTATTGAGAATAAGTTGGCATTTAGATGCAATGTAACTTAAACTTAACAAACAGACCATCAAAATAAAGTGTAACCGAGTTAAATTTTTCTGTTGAACACAAAAGAAGATATTTTGAAAAATGCTGCTAGGTGCCATCCATTGACTTCCATAGTACTTTTTTTTCCTACTATGGAAGTTGATGGTCCCAGCAACCAGCGTTTTCAAAATATCTTATTTAGTAACAAAAGAAAGACTCATGAGAGAGACTAAATGGTGAGATGATAAAATTTTTGGGTGAAATATGCCTTAAACTTGATTTATTATAGTCATTCATTCATTCATTTTCTTTTTGGCTTAGTCCCAGTTTTAATTAGGGGTCACCACAGCAGAATGAACCGCTGATTTATTATAATTGTCAGTAAAATTGTAGTTAATTTAGGTATAACAAGATTTTTGTTGATTATTTTTATTGAAACTTATACAAGTGTTCACTTTTTATAGTGTACATTCTACACATAAATGTTTACAAGTGCTATATATATCTTGATCATGCAGTTCAGATTTAGAGTTGCGGTCATTTCATTAATGAAACCTAAATCTCAGCAAGGTTTCGGCCCCATTAGCGAGCTGACATCATAGCATGTTAACAAATCTAGTTAATTAGTTTGTTGGTATTGATTGTGTTAATGCATTGAGGGCAGGAGACGGATGGTCCGAAGGTGGTTGGTCTCGCAGTCGAGGGCTTCTGTGGTGACCATCAGTGCTGTGTATCTAGTGATCCCAGAGCGCATGAATCTGTGCACCCTTCATATTGACTATCAGATCGTCTTGCATGCTGAGTGAAGCATTGATTTTGCTCTTTCTTTTCTCAGCGCGTGTTCATTTGGGACTTGGATGAAACAATCATCGTTTTCCATTCCTTGCTCACAGGATCTTACGCCAACCGATTCGGAAGGGTAAGTCGTGTATTTTAAATGCAAACACAGGCAAATATTGCGGCAGAGTTTAGAAAAATACACAGAAAAGAGGGTCTGTTTGGGTACACGGTCCAGCTTCGAGGAACTTGGAGTTCAGTGTAATTGTTTCTTTTTTTAATAAGATTGTGGAGGCCTCGCAGGCATTCGGCTCGGCCTGCAGCTGTCTCAGTTATGTAGCTGCTACAGGCATGGATTACAAACCAGTTGCACAGAGAATGTCCATTGACACTTCCTAAGGGTTTTTTTTTTTTTTTTAGACCTTCAGAAACGTTTCATTGTTAAGTTTAATTAAGTGTTTGTCTTAACTGCACTTTAAGTCAGGGTTGTGTATTGTGGCATAATTAAAGAAAAAAGTTCACTTTAAATAAACAAAGTTGACTTTTGGTCTTCGGGCATTAAAATGACTAAACTTAATTCATTACAAAAATCAAATAATAAAGAAAAGGTACACTGTAAAAAAAAGTTGACTCAACTTAAAATTTTAAGACAACAAACAACATTTTTGAGTTGATACAACTTTCAACCCAAATAATTCACTTGACTCCAGTTTGTTGCCTTAAAATTTTAAGTTTATTTGATTTTTGTCATGAATGAAGTTAAGTAGTCATTTTAATGTATATATTTTAAAGGAAGGCTTATCAAGGCTGTATCCCTGTTTATTTCTTTCCGCAATTTTTGTTTATTTTATCTTTGCCATGATGACAGTAAATAATATTTTACTAGATAGTTTTCAAGGCACTTCTATACAGCTTAAAGTGACATTTAACGACTAAACTAGGTTAATTAGATTAACTAGGCAGGTTAGGGTAATTAGGCAAGTTATTGTATGATGATGTTCTGTAGACTATTGAAAAAATTATAGCTCAAAGAAGCTAATAATTTTGACCTTAAAATGCTTTTTAAAAAGTTTAAAACTGCTTTTATTCTAGTCGAAATAAAACAAATAAGACTTTCTCCAGAAGAAAAAAATATTATCAGACATTTTGTGGAAATTTCCTTGCTCTGTATAAAACATCATTTCAAAGGTGGGTAATAAGAGGGGTAATAATTATGACTTTAACTGCATATATGTTTATTATAAAGGTTCTATTTAATCTATTTAATTGTGTGATGGCAAATCAGATTTTCCAGCTTCAGCAATCTAGTCTTCATAGTCACATGATCCTTCAGAAACCCTTCTAACAAGAGTATTTGCTATTCATTTAATAATTTTTAAATAGTGTCAAATCTGAAAACAACAATGCAAGATAGCATGCCATTTGTTGTAAAGTAACTGTTTTTACTAAATAACGCAATATTATCCTGTATACTGTATTTATTTTTTTTGCTTAAAATAAACATCAAACGATGGCTTAAAGCATAGTTAGTTTTACAAAGTCTCTGAATATTTTAACAGAACTTTATTTTCTGCTGTTGTTCTTGATGTTTTTGTTTCACTTTTATTGATCCTAGCAAAAAGTTTGGTGTCAGTAAAATTTATATGATCTATTTATTTATGTTATGTTTATGATATATATTATTATTATTCTTTTTTTTTATTATTATCCCGTTTCAATTACCCCAACCTGTAGCCGTCACCCCACATTTAAAATTCTGGCTTGGAAACTATTGGTCCTATGTATGCAACATATAAACTATGTGATATAGTGAAAAAAATATCCATACTAATTAATATATATAAATGAATATGTAATCGTACTAATTTAAATATGAAAGTATTATATTTAACATTATAGAGCAAAAATTTTATGAAATTAAACATGGTACATTGTAATATACAGAAAAATGTAAACCTGTATTGTATTGATGCTCAAAATCTTCTTTTCATCTTTTATCCAAACATATTTAGTATTTTTGCATTTGTGCCTCCGTTAAAATATAATACCCAATTTAACAGGTTCAAAAGGGTTATGAACATCCAATAAAAAGCAGTTTACTTCTGCGGTCGTTGTATTTGTTTTTTTATACAAACCATCATAAGCTATATTTAAACTTTCAAAACAAACAATTTGGGAAAAACGACAATCTGTGATTCTCAGGCTTCGTCAATGATCTCATAGCTTTATTTAACTTGCGTTCAATTCGGCAGATTATAATTTCAGAAAGAAAAAAAAAAACACCAGAGCTCTTGAGTTCAACAAGCGTGTGTTTTTTAAGCCCTCTTTGTGTCTGAAGAATGTCGAAAGCTGCTTCCTTGTTTGAGGGAATAAATCACAGATTTGGCATTTTTTGGCTGAGCTTCTTGAAGTGTTTTTTTTTCTTCTTCTTCTTTGTGGTGAGTGTAGATGACAGCAGCGCTCGGATGTCAGTGGAACGGGGCCCGGCGGCTGGTTTGTTCTCTTTGTTCCTCAGGCAGGGTGTTTGATGGGGGTGGTGTTTTGTTTTAAGGGTGAGGGAGCCCTGGCCCTCGACCCTGCACTGTTTATTTACTTTATCTCGGCTGAGCATGCTGGGTAAAGAAGCAAAACTCTGAGAGCGCTTCAACTGCGTCCACTCACTCGCACACACACACACATACTCATTTTCACAAGTCATTTTCTCTGATTTTAAAGGCCGTTCCCAAAAGCAATCTTGATTTATAAAGTGAGAACTAGCCCTATATATTGTTCTTTTTCTTTCTGCTTTTGACATGATGATAACAAATAGACTGTTGCACTTAAACAAATGAACAATTAATACATATATTACGCTGCAATTATTCGTTTTAAAACAAATGCTAGCCTTTTAAAGTCATCAATGCATCATGTAAAGCACGATTTCAGCATTGGAATATTTCAACATTTAAGGTCATTTTCTCTATCTATAATGTGCCTGCAAACCCCCATCATTCTCTCTCTCCTCCATCTTGCCCTCAAAATCTGATTACAAGTTGCCCTTCCACCAGAAATATGCTTATCCAATCTAGCCTGTAACATCGCAAACCACATAATGCTCTCTTAAATCATATCAGCGCTCTCATCTAAAACCCTTACATTAAAACCAAGGTGCTTCGCTTTTCTCCGATATGATGCATAGATGACATAAATCGTAAGAATACCCAGCGAAATGTGTTTCTTCCAGGGAGAGCGTTGAGGAAGAGCTCTATAAATAGAGTCATGTTTGGAGCGCTCGCTGCTGTGGTTATCAGTTATCCTAATTGGCATCAGGGCAGCTCGCTCCCATAAAGCTGATGGTTCGGGCCAGCTGTGTGGCCGTCAGCCCTGGAAGGGGAAGCTTTCGAAGGGGAGGACTTGGCACCCCTCGGGTGGCACTGATGTGTTGGGACAGGTGGCAGCAAGAGCAGAAGACCTTCTGGCACTCGGGCCTGCTTGTATTCTTAACTCTCCTGCTGAATGATTGTTTAGATTTAATTGGAGAGGATTGGTTGAGCCGGAGAAGTGCACTTTGCATACCTCTCACCACCAAACCTGCTTTTATTAACTGTCAGATATAACACAGGTGTTTATGTTAAGTCCAGGCTCAAAATAGGTTGGATGGGAGGAATACAATGTAAAAATTGATTAGTTGCTTTACTTAAAAACTGTAAGTAAACCTGTTGATCTTGGAACTGTTAAGTTGACTTAAACTAATTTTTATTAGTTTTATTAGTTCTAAGCACATAATTTTGGGTTCACTAACATTTTTAAATTAACTTCAACTATTCATTTTAAAAGCAATACGTTTACTTACCTTTTAATGTAAAGTCAACTAATGTTTGTAATTTTTTGCATTTTATTTGAGCTTGGTAAATTTGAAAGTTTGGTATTAGAGTAAACGCAGCACCATATGAACTTGCTTTGTATCAGAGAATCCTGAAGAGATTTTATTTAATTTATTTAATATAATTATTTTATTTATTTTTTTATTTTATTTAAATATTACTATTATTTATTTATTTATTTATTTATTTATTTATTTATTTATTTATTTATTTATTTATTTATTTATGTGTTTGTTTGTTTGTTTGTTTGTTTGTTTGTTTGTTTGTTTGTTTGTTTATAGTTTGCATACTGTAGATAATTAATTGAATTGAGTTTTATTTTATTAAAATATTACTGTTACTTATTTATTTATTTATTTATTTATTCATTTATTTATCTATTACTTTGCATAGAATTTACTTCATTTCATTAATTTATTTTATTTTATGAACATATTAATATTATTAAGTATGTATTTATTTGTTTGTTTATTTATTTATTTATTTATTTATTACTTTGCATACTGTATTTAATTAATTTTATTTAATTTTATTTTGTTAAATTATTACTATTATTTATTCATTTATTTGTTTGCATATTGTAGATAATTAATTTATTTGGTTATTTTATTTATTAAAATATTACTATTATTAGGTATTTGTTTATTACTTTGCATACTGTAGAGAATTTACTTTATTTAATTGTATTACTTTATTTTATTTTATGAAAATATTACTATTATTAAGTATTTATTTATTACTTTGCATACTGTAGAGAATTTATTTTATTTTTAATTTTATTTTATTTAACTTTATGAAAAATTACTATTATTAAGTATTTATTTATTTATTTATTACTTTGTATACTGTAGACAATTTATTTATTCCTTTATTCATTCATTCATTTTCTTTTTGTCCCTTTATCAATCCATGGTCACCACAGCGGAATGTACCGCCAACTTATTTTTTATGCAGTGGATGCCCTTTCAGCTGCAAACAATCTCTGGGAAATTATTTTATTTTATTACATTTTAGTAAATTATTACTATTTTTTATTCATTCATTAATTGCATACTGTAGAAAATGTATTTTATTTTATTATATTAGGTTATTAAAATAATGCTATTATTAAGTATTTATTTTTTATTACTTTGCATACTGTAGAGAAGTATGAATTATGCTATTTTTGATTAGACTTTGTATAGTTTTTAAACTTCACATGCATCTAAAATTTCTGAAAATAACGTCAGTATATTTTTAAAACTACTGCAATTAGAGATGGTATAATTTACATTTACAT